AATACACTTCAAACATTCTTATAGTCCTATTAAAAAACATACATCATCACTACCCCATGTATAAATAAATACTGTTTATCTAATTCTCATAGATTAGTAAGTGCCAAGCCAGGGACAGGAAAACATTCTGGGGTATTAACAAAGTTTTTGTTCTCTGGAATTCCTTGCACGCTCTGCCCTTTTTCCTATAGTAGGCAGTCAAAGTTTTCCACTTTCATTGCTTTTGGGGAATGGATGACGCAGAAGTTTGCAGATAATGTGGCAATGGGCCCTAGACAAAGACCTTCCCAGACCATGTGGTCACCAAGGATTTTGCACGGGCTTCAGACAAAGACATTCCTGAACTGTATGGTCAGCAAGACTTCTGCGTTTAACCTTTTCAAATTCCTACCTCACCTGAGAGCCAATCAGGAACTGGCACAATGGCCACATGTCCTAATAAGGAACTCGGAAACCTCAGGGTATATAACCCCAAATCCCACCTGAGTGGGGGCTCAGCCTCTGGATGTGAATCCACTGAGCCCGTGCCGGCATTAGTAAAAGTTGCTTCCCGCGCCTTGGTGTCCTGTCTCTTTGTCTGGGTTCCCGCAACAATAACAAAGGAGTCACATTCTTAATATGTGATTTTCAAAGGTCTAGGTTTGGGCATTGATAATAGATTTGGAAAAACAAAAAAGAAAAATGGGCTTTGCTCTTCCTAGGCTGAACAAGAGACATGGACCAGAGAGGGAAAGGTCTTCTTCCCCACCACCTTCTCCCTGGGCTAAATCTTGGGGAAACCAGAAAGTCTTTACTTCATTACACCTGCAAGACCCTAATTCCATATAAGGTCACATTCTGCGGTTCTGGGTAGACGTGACTTTTTAGTGGATACTAACCTATTATACCACCCAAAATGAATTAGAAGCGGTTTCCATTTTCCCTATGGATCATGGAAACACTAACATGGAAACAGGGTGACTAATGTCTTCATCCTTTTCCTGTAGTCAAGGCTGCTAAAGGGCAGAGCTAGGGAGGGATGTTCAAAGAAAGTCCATAGAGGGGAGGTGTCAGAATTTGGGTCTCCATGGTGTAATTATTCAACCTGCCTCTAGCAGGGGGATGAAGTTGGGACTGTGTAATCATACCTCGGAGCCCTCTCTGTACAGCCACCTGCTTATAATATAGAAGAAGAAATGCTAGCAAATTTTAATCTGGAAATGCAAAGAGCTCCTTTTAAATTAAACATTTCAATGTAGTGAATACATTATATAGCATCTGAAAATCTGATGTTACATTAGTGTTTTATTTTTACTACTGAGTTAGCACTCAGTTTAAAATGGACATAAATGATTCCTGAATGAGAGTCCTTACTTTTTCGTAATTAGGTTTCCTTGGTATTGACCTAGATGTATTCTCTAAAGTAACTAAGAATTTTAGCTGAAAAAATATAAGGTTGCTGTTTTTTTGTTTGTTATTGTCTCACAAAACACTGCTAAAATGACTGTTGAAGATCGTTTATTTGGCCTCCACTCTGCATCTGTGACAGTTCTGAGTAAAGATGAAAAATTGGTTAAACATGGCAAAAACATGGAAATATATAGAAATTATATTAAATGACATAACTCAGGGGAAAATTGTACATTTCCATATTGAAGTTTATCAGTAATGATCAAAGTTATTATAAAAATGGTGCAATCAATTTTGACATATGTATGTATATAAAATATGAATTGCCCAAACATTTTAGAAAAAAAAGGATTTTTGTGAATTCAATTGAAAACTTTAAATCTATTCATTTTGCTTACATTGTGTACATGAGAAATGCTCAGTTTTGATGCCTTATGCTTTTTGTACTAACTTTTTTTTATATAATCAGTAAAGTGCTTTGTTATAGAGAAATGGGTTTTCTAAGAAAACCCGGAACTTAACACCCAACTAAGAGTACTTGTTTAAGATGCCTGTGATAATACAAAAGTAACAGTTCTTTCTAAATATAATTAGCTCATATTATAGTTCAATATATGGGAGTCAATTTAATTTATTTGATGGTGTATCACATTTTTGGTAGCTCCCCTAAATTTTATTATCACTATTTCCATTTGACTTATTTCTCAATTTTAATAATTATTATTGGTGTCAATATTTAAGTAGCTTAAGACAATAAGGGAAAGGTTTTTGAAGCTATATTTTAGGATGTATTTTAAAAGGTCTATTAAGGAAAAAGTCCTTCTATTCACTAGAAAAATAAATTTCATTTGAAAATACTATTAAGTTATAAATGATCATTCTAAAAGTGATATTTAGCTGTGTGTTTTTCTNTGTAGAAATAAATGTGTCTAAATGGCAAAGCAGAGGTGCCTGGGATAGAGCTGGGGGATGGCTGCTCATGAGCACAGTTGGCCACAGCCTTGGCTCAGATATGGGGCGACAGGTGTTCTTCCTCTCCTCCCAAATAACTCTGCAGACACCTTTACAAGATCACGAGAGATCAAGATCATAACTCAGGTTTTGTGTGTTTTTTGTTTTTTTTTGTAAACAGAGTCTCTGCCAAGAACTTTTAAACAGTTTTATAGTGGTAAGTAACCGTTTTGGCTATAAACCTCTGAAAACTGTTTCTGTCTCTTTACGTAAGAGCCATGTTGAATGTGACTGTGTGTTTCTGTTGTGGGGAAGGGATGGTGAGGGTTGAGAAGATGAGGGTCCTGGGAGTGAGAGTAAGAAGGGTAAAAATGGAAGGCAGTGAGATTAGCATGAATTCCAGTGTGTTTTTTTTCTACGTATAGAGGCTGAGTTAAGATAAACCATACATGTTGATTAAAGGGTTACCTATAATAGGGAAAAGTGAAAAAAAACCAACACCCAAATCTAACAACAAAAGAATGATTAAGCAAATTATGTCGCTTACAATGTATGTTATAGTATATTTCAAAGGGTTTATGATAACATATAATAACATATTATATGCTTATAATAATATAAGCATAATATTATGCTTTTAGGTTATGCTAAAATGGTAATTGAAAATATGAGAAAATGGTTTGTACAGGACATTTCAGCTACGTTAAAATAAAAAAGGATGAGTAATTCACCAGCGAGTTAATGCTGGTGGTCTCCAAATGGTGAAATTCTGGTTGAATAAATAATTCTTTCCAACTCTCTGTACTTTCCAAATCCTCAAATTTAAACTTTATTAATATATTAGTTAATGGTAGAATATTTTCTGTGATACTGTGCTTGAGAAGAGACTTGATAAATGTGAACTTCTCACATTCTTTCATTCAGCCAAAAATGATTATAAGCCATTCTCGGCTTAATTTCTAATAAATCCTCATAATACTGTGATTTAGATAAAGTGGCACAATAGGAACCTTAATTCAAGTATCACTCCCAAATTTTACACTATACTTTCTATTCCATTTTCACACTGCTTTTAAGTTCCAAAAAGATATTTAATTATTACCACCCCTCCTCAAATTGTCTTTAAAAAACTCTAATTAAAAGTTATATATTTGTTCTTTACTAAGCCCTGATCAAAACATTACCTCTGCATTTTTTTATACATCATTTATTGTGTAGCTGCATCCCTCTTGTGTAATTATACTTGTGACAAATTTCTCTCAGAGTTCAGGAGCAGGCAAAAATGTATTTCTCTTGCTGACCTGATCTTCCACCCCACCCCTAATTTGTTTGTTTTTTCTTTACAAACCACACTATGAGAGTTATGTAGCCCATTATCTTCCCTCTTTGTCCTTATGACTACAAAATGCAGAACTAAGCTTTGGATGCAGTTCAGCTGCTGAACTTTTCTCAGTGGAGATTTCCTTATTTTTCTTCTCCATTCTCTTTCCCAATTACCAGTGATTTTTTTTTTGTCTTTTATGTTATGTTAATGGTTTAAGTCTGCTAGTAGCCATATTTTTATTTTAAGCTGCCTAAAATCCATTTGGGAATAAGGTGAGATATACGAAGATTCAATTAAAATGTAAGAAATGAAAAGTATATATAATAAAACAAAAAAGAAAATAAAAGCTATGTTTTGAGGTAACATGGCTTAATCCATTAATTTTTCCCCCCATTATATTAGCAGTTAAATTACACCTGTTAACTTTTTTCTTTCCCCAAAGCTTTTAGCTTTTCAATGATCAAGTAATTTGGTCTTCACATTCTGGGAGACAGCGTGAGGCTGAGACAAATTGCTGAGTAACCTGAGATTTACAGGAGGAATGTACACCCCCTTAAACTGGGGATTGTTAGTAGTTTTTCTTAATCTCATTTGAGTACTGAAGACAAAAAAATATTAAAAATTAAAACAAAATTTATAATTTACAATTTATGGTAGAACACAAAGGAAAAATTATAGTAAAAGATTCCTCCCCCCAACCCCTGCTTTTTAACTAAGGTTTGGAAAAGCTAGGATCAAAATTACAACTCCAAGGCATAAATTTACATTTGTACAATTTATTAGAATAGACTAAATTTATGTAAAAGAAATGATTCACGTAAAATTCCTGATCTAATATATTATAGAGTTAATTCTTGAGGTTGCCCTCCCACACACTGTCCAGTGTTTTGGGAGGTTTTTGGTATATCATTAGACATAGCAGGTTATAATTAATAAGGCTTTTTTTTTTTTTGGTAGCTCTATAGTTTAGACCTCAGAAAAATTTTCATCTACAAACATTAAAATCCAAACAGCTTTTTTGCTCTTCTATTTCCACAGTTTCCATTATATCAGAGTTTATAGTGGCTGTAAAAAGGGAACATAAAATAGCAACCCTGACTGACTAACAGTAATTTTGTTCACAACAATACCTGACATGATTTAGTACTTTTACACTAAGATCCCTGAGTAATTTTACATAAAATACTCAAATTAAGAGCATGTCTGATAGAGTTTGCTATAGGAAAACTACAACTAACATTTTTATTTAAACAAATATGTTGGATTCAACTTTTAAAGATGTGATGTCTTATTATGAACTCATGGAAAAGGAGACTCCACAACTCTGATTACTTACGGCATTCTGATATTTCTGCATCAAAGGAATATGGGAAAGTCATTTTGTAGTTATAGGCCAAATATGTGTCAAGTTGCAAAGACCATCCATTGTTGTCTCCTAAAATAAAAACCAGAGAGCAGAAAAGTTCAAGAAAACAGAAATATTCTGGTTTGTTGGGGGAAATAATTCCTCACTTTAAAATAAATGGACGATCCTCAAACTTAGTGAGATAAACATTATCTGGGAGCTTGTTACAAATGTGCATTTTGGGGGCCCAGTTCCAGAGATCCTGATTTCGTATGTCTGAGTTGGGTCTCCTAGTCTCCATTTTTAACAGGCGCTCTAGGTGATTCTTCGGCAAGCAGTGTTTGGACTACACTTTAAGAAACAGTACTTTAGATGTACTGAAACATGGCCGTGTTCTTGCCATATTCATTATGGTCTCCTCCATCTTCCTCAGTATTAAGACTGATGTTGGAGATGTATTAACATGGAGAGACAGTCATGATAGTTAAATTAAAAAAGAAAGAAAACAACTTGAGTTGCTGAGAGGCAAATGCATATGGATGTTGACTCCCCAAAGGGACAGATGATAGGGGACACGGCCATTGTATCATATGGCTGCGACAAGCCCGGAGTGGCTACTGTAGATTGACTGACTCAGCTTCCGTCCAACTCCCCCTTTACTGGTGTGTTCTGTGTAGCAGAGATTGAAAAGCTTATAATGACCTTTCACATCTCCTTTATAGCCAGGGCTTGGGGTACACTCATGCGTATTTTGGTTGGGGAAGAGGAGTAGAGGTCAGTTTCCTGCTGCTATGTCTAAAACACAG